TGATTCTGCTTGCCAAGACCCGCGCCAGTAGTTTGTAGCTGATGTTTAAAAGCGTGATAGGACGGTAGTTATCCAACTGCTCTTTCGCCCCTTTTTTCTGCAGGAGGATTGTCACCGCATCTTTCACGTTGGTGGAGAGCGGGGACGTGAGGGTGAAGTCGCTGACCAACCCCATAACATGCTTTCCAAGTGTGTCCCAGTGTGCATCAAATAGCTCGTTCGGCAGGCCATCTTTCCTTGGTGATTTGTTGCACGCCATTTCCCGCAACGCCTGTCTGACCTCCTTCTCTGTCCATTCCTCTTGCAGACTTTCCGCATCTGAATACAGCAGCCTCTTCCCGGCTTCCGGACGCCAATCCGAAGTCATCGTGCGCTTATCTTCTCCGAAGAGGTTACGGAAGTAATCTGCCGCTGCCTCCAAGATCCGTTTCGGCTCCGACACCACCCCTCCTGGTACCGCAATCTCCGTGATTTGAGTCATGACTTTACGCGTCTTTATCCTTGCCGACAGATGCGGTGAGGGGACTTCTCCCGTCAACGCCATTTCCACTCCAGCCATGGTGTGCATTCTGTCCCTTCGACACGCAAAATACTCCTTGAGCTGATGTTCCCTTTTACTCAGCCGTTCCTTCAGCAGCAGATCTTTCGGGTGCTGCATGAACTCCTGTCTCAATGCAGCCACCGATGTGGTGAGATGAACGATAGGTGCCCTGATCCTTTTGCTCTCTTCTCTTGCATACGCTTGCAGGCTGGCATGCAGGCGCGAAATGAGTGCTGTAAAACCTCTTCCATTTTGCGCGACCAGCCGCTCCACCTCCTCTATCTTCTTCTTAGCCCCTGGCCTCCCAAGCAGGGAGGGATGAAATCGCCAAATTCCCGGCCCCAGTTTCAGTTGCGATTTGAGCTTGAAGATTACCCGGACAGCAAAACCATGATCAGAGACCGGCTCATCCGGCGAGACGTGCGTAGCTGACACCAGGCGCGGGAGCAAGGATTGAGAGGCTAAAGCTCGATCTATCCGTGAACTCTCCTGATGTGATTGTGAGTAAAAGGTGAACTCTCGTTCACTTGGGTGAAGGAATCGAAAAGCATCTGAGACGTCAAAGGCTTTACAGTGGTGGTAGAGGAAGTCATTCTCTTTAGTTGATCCGTGTCTGGAGGTTTTATCAAGCAGTGGATTCTCAATGGTATTAAGGTCACCTAGGATGAGCAGGTGGGTGCCTGGCTGAATCTGGCCTAGAATCGGACCAAGCACTATCCTGACGAAGGCTCGCTTCTCAGCTTTGTCTGCAGGTAAGTAAGTTGCTATCAGGGTAAGTCGAAGGTTTGAACAGTGAACTTCAGTCTTAACAAGTCTTCCTGAGGGGTGAGCTAAAGGGTTGTGAAAGGAAAGGTCCGTTCGCCGGCTGAGAACTGCAACACCTCCGGCTCGAGTCACAGAGGAGGTGGCAGCAAAAGAGGTGAGATTGAGGGAAGACCAGTAGGTGTTATCGTCTGTTATTCGCGTATCTGATAAAACCATTACATCTGCTCCTTTGTTGCTGTTAATCCATGCCGTTGTACGTTTCCGCTTCGTGAAGTCCCCCAGGCCGTTAACATTCAGGCCCGCAAACGACAGCGTATTCCGTGTATTCATTTAATAACTCCTTGATCGCCTCTACGCATCCACAGGCAGGTAAGACAGAGTACACCAAGAACTACCGCTCCAACTGATATCACCATGGCAAGCCGATCTGGGTCTGTTAAATCCCATACTCCTTGCGGACTGTATGCAGGTTCTCCTTTTCCCTTGTCAGACGAGTGACCGCACCCAGCTCCCCTTGTCTGTGCAGATGACGCGCAGCAGTTATGTGCTCTGCAGCAGCGACAAGCAGCATCCCATGCGCTTTCCCGCAACAAATCTGAGTACAGATCCACTCTTCCTTGGAGCTTCCGGTGGAGATCAGGACAATAGCCGGGTCGAGCAGAATCGGACGCACCAGGCGCGAAGCAGTCAGGGAAGCAGCTGCGACAAGCGGCTAAACGGTTAGGAGTTGGATGACAGGTAAGACAATCTGAACTGCTTAAGCGTGTAAGTGTACTGTTACCATTGATCCCATGCACATGACCTAGGCTCAAGTTCCACTTCCCTATGTTATGCTGCCGGTCAGTGGTGAAGGCATCATGATATTTCTCATAATGCGGACCCCCACAGAGCCGGCAGGAGAGCATAGGGTAGTGGACCAGGAGCTTCTTATCATGCTCCTGCGGGTGGTTGACTTGGTGAATAAAACGCCGCTTTTTGACTTCCGGGCGTGGAACCACCAATCCCTTAATAGTCCCTGTGTTGGCTCCAGAAACCGGATGCACCACGCGGTGAAAGCAATGACCCTCCAGGAAAGGCGTGACTTGGCGAATTTTCAGCTTGTACTTCACCAGCAACTCCTCAACAGCCTCCGGCGTAATACTGGCAGGTATGTCCTTAAAAACCACTTCAATAGCCCGTTGATTAGTAGCTTTCTCCTTCGCAAAAGCTGCATTCTCAGCATGCAGCCAGTGTAGAGTAAATGATGCTCCATTCTGCTTCTGATACTCCAGCGCTGCCTGACGCACTTTGATCGCATCCTCTTCTTTCAGAAATGATAACTGAAGGCGGCTGTACTTTGTCTTTGCTACGTATGCAGGATTGATATCCTGAAACTCAATCAATGTGTTAGCACCGTCAGCGAATAAGGAGGACCAGACACGTTTCAACAGCAGCTTCACGGTTAAAATAACCGATGCCATTTCCGGTTGAAGGACCAGCGGGAGAAGCAGAATCGCCGTGTTACGGATTTTCGCAGCAAAATCCTTGGAGATCTCAAACTCCAGTTCATCGTCGGAGTCATCATCCGTGAACTCTCCGTCGTCAGCTTTGTCATGCGCCAAGGTAAGCGCCGTCAACTTTTCCTCCAGAGATAAACCAGAGCTTCCTGCAACCGGAGTGACTGGTTCCTGATCCACCACAGTCTTTCCCTTGTCTTCAGACATGGTAGCAGAAGAGGATGCAGCAGAACGCTTCGGCACCAGGGGTTTTCGTTCCTTCGGAGGCGCACGCGGCATGGCGCAATGATGAGTTAGCTTGAGTATCAGGAGGCTTGCAAATGCCTGACAAGGTTGACTTGCTGAAACTCTGAGCCCAATATAATATAGCCGTAGTGATCCTCCGTCGGACCAGTATTCCTCGTGCAGATGATGAGATGTTGCTGACATAACCACTGGGTGGATATTCGTAGCCTTGAGAATGCCTTGAAATAAAGAGAGCCAATCATGTTGTCGCCTTGATAGCGCTTGGATAACACACTGGAATGCTGTTAGAATAACAGATGGCAAAGCCTTGAGATTGTATTGACTGAAGAACCTGAACAGCAGATCCCGAGGAGCTTTTGATACAATGTCCGACTGATGGACACGATAAGTGTACCAAACGCTTCGTCGTGATAAGGCGAGTACAATGCCGTGGTTCTTAAAGCCAACTGATAACTCTGCTTCACGAAATGCCGGGTTGAATACCCTGAAGAAATCCATGGCGCTGTAGCGCTGTAGTCCTTCACGGAACTTCGGAAGGCAGGCATCCATAGGTTCGAGAGTTGCGACATGGGGGACACAAGATAGGAAGAGTTACGAGTTGGGAATGACTCCCAGCTCCTACAAACCCCAAGAGCCGAGGTACAGTGATGTGGAACAGTGCCACACTGTCCCCAACCACGAAGGCTCTGGAAACTACCCTCCACAAGGGCCTACACCAAGAGAAATGTTACACTACACAAAGTAATGCAACTATTCACACTATCTTAAATTTTACCCTTTTGGAGAGCTTCGAAATCACTTGAATCTTGAAACCAAGGCTCTGGTTCTTCAAGATAAATTCTTCCTTGAGTTCTTGGAATTCTGCTGCGCACACCTGCGACACGCCGAACGTTCCACACACGACAAAATAGAAAACCGCACAGGACACGCAAACAACGACGTGACACGCGACTAGCGATAACTCGCTATTGACTCGACACACACATTCAAAACCATGCCTCATCATTCACACACAATTATAAGCATGAAATATATATTATCTCATGCCCTCATACCATTCCATGCACACACGCATGCACGCACACGGACAACAAGCCGAATGCAAACCGTAGGGTTGCACCAACAGCGCCATCTTCTTGCAGTTTCAGCCCATGCACGCACTTCTCTTTTTGCATCACCTCCAATGTAGAAACAGCCACATGTGCGAGCCATCGATGCCAAGTCTCCCAATTCGCTTGGCCCGAGGTAGCCGACGCCTTCACCGCCGCGCTTCCTCCAATCAGCTCTTCTCCTTGCATACCTTGATGCTGCTCCTCTGTGACTGTCTCCTCCATAGATGCCACAGCTCCCGCCTTGCCCGATTTCCGCCAAGGGAGGACTGGGATCTGCCACATGCGCTTGTGGACATCTCCCTTCCACTGCAGTTCCCAAATGAGGCGCTCATCGTTGTAGGCACGATAGCGCTCCGAGCCAATCGTCTCGGTGTTCACACCTGCATCTCCCAATCGGCCAATAGAAATCAGATTCGCGCACAAGTCCGGCACCCACAGCACGTTCTTCAGCCCCGCGAGCTCTCCATCTGCTCCCATGAACTTGGCGCATCCCATGCCCATGACCTTGGCCTTGGCGCCCGTCGCGGATGTGGCTGTAGAGATAGGTGCGGGCTGAATCTCATCAAGAAGATCCGCACGAGGAGTCATGTGCCAGGAGCTTCCTGGGTCAATCACCCAATGGGTGAGGGGGTGTAGGAGAACCTTGGCAGACATGGCGGGGTCGGTTGCGCCTTCATTCACGAAGAAGAAAAACCCGGCCTTCCGCTCCTCAGATTTGCCGCCTTTCACCTCATCCTTCTCCTCTCCACTAGCTCCCATGACTCCCCCACTCCTCTTGCCACCATGCTGGTTGCTTAATGAAGGCGGGGTCCAATCCTTAGGTCGTTGGTAGCACTTCCGTCAACGATGTCTGCGCTTCTTGCAGTAGAAGCACACCTCCCCTTGGCCCACGCCGCTCTCCTCTTTATGGTTGTCCTTGTTCTTGCCCTTCCACTTCTTCTTAGAGCCACTCTTTCCACCTCCAACTCCATAGCCAGCCCCCTCCTCCACGCGCTCCACATTCCGACGCCGCAAGTCCTCCTCAAGGATGTGCGCCCAGATGTAATCCACGCTCCATTGGGGCTATTGGGAGTTGAGGTTGATGGCAAGGGCAGACCACGATTTCGGCAGCCATATCACGATCTCCACGCATTGCACGAGCTCTGGGTACACCACACCACCACCTTGGAGCTTCGTAAAGATGTCCCGCATCTCATCCAACACCGGTTGCATCGGCTCTCCAACAACAAACTTGATGTCGCTCAGCCGCCGCGCGAGTAGCACGATGCCGGTAGCGTGTGTTGGTGACTGCACATCCAGAAGCTTCCTCCACGCCTTTGGGCCACATTCTGGATCACACAAGAGGTCCTTGATGTGGTCAAATTGTCGTCCGCCAACCGCTTGCACCATGAGCATGTACACATCGAACGGTCGCTTCATCCACGCTCCTTTCAGCTCCGCGGCCTCCGGCATCTTCTCCTTCCCCTCAACCTCATGCGGAAGCTCCAGTGCTCGTTGTCCTCCCCCATGAATTTCTCAATAGAGAAAGCCTTCACGGGATCCACGGTTGTTGGAGGTGGAATAGTAGACGTAGGAAACGTAGGGTTGGCTGGTTGGTGAGTCCCCAATCCGCCACCAGGAACTCCCCCCTGCTCTCCAGCCTCTCTACCCCTAGCCATCTCGCCATTAGCACCTCCGGAGCCCGTTCCAGTCATATTAAGGCCTTATGAACGGTGGAAACTTGAGAAATCGATTGGAGAGAATTCTGCCAGACATTTTGATTCTACAAAAATCGTCGTTGCGGACTGGATACTTCGAGTTAGAACGCAGTTTGACCCTCAATCAAAAGTCGCAAGCAAAGCTACTAGAAACTGGTCTCACTTGTCAACGTTGGTTGAGAATTGATGGCGATTTGTCGTCTCAAAGTCGACAACCCGCTCTGCTACCTTTTGTTGTTCAAGATCCGTCACTTTGAGAACTTATTACGAATTCATTTCTCAAGTAAACGCAAATCCGCTCACTAGGATGATGCGCCTTAGGCTTAGCTATCATATCCAATTCAAATCACTTAGAAAGATGGTCTGTAGAGTGAGAACGACTTGAAGACGTCTAGCAGCCGCATGACTAAAAACGCAAGGCATAGAAAGTTGGAGTTGGGGACTCCAAGAGAACCATGAGAGGGAAGGGATTCTCCAAGAGCTAGAGAAGGATAGTAGGAACCTTCCTAGCAGCAAGGTGCATTCAAATTGAAGTGCATTCAACACCTTTATGGGTGGAATGGGGGCAGGTGCAGCGCGATGTCAGAATAATGAACGAGAGTGAATGCATTGAGCAGAAGTTGGGTACAATTACTAACCCTAATTGGGTTGTACCCCTTATGGGCTACCCCACTATAGCCTACACAATATCAGATATATAACATTTTGACACACCCCCATAGGCAAAGTCGGGGAGCACAAGTGGTCACAAGACTAGTCACGCAAAGCAAAGCAAGCTCAGGGTGGATCACAAAGTCACCACACAGTCCGAGCACAAGCAAAGGGCCACAAGGCCAGTTTACATGCAGAGTTATATAAAAGAGAGCAAGCAATACAGTGATCATACCCTAGCAAGTGCAAGCATGCAGGTATATATATAGATCACAGTCCAAGCAAAACCACAAAGTGAGTAAATGAGGCAAAGTAGGCACAAGGCCTAACACAGTAGAGAAGCGCTGATGATCACTAGGCAGAAGTGCCTTGGTGAATATATCAGCAGTGTTGGCCCGAGTGGCCACGAAAGCAAGACGAAGCTGGCCACGCAGCTGCAACTCTCGAGCAAGGAAGAATCGCAGAGCGATGTGCTTCGTTCTGTGCTCTAGTCTGTGCTCTTAACACAAGGAAATCATGGCCTTGTTGTCTACGTACAGAACTGGAGGCGAACGAGGCTGCTCTCCCAAGTCAGTCAGCAAGTAGGTGAGCCAGCGTAGATCCTGTGCAGCCATAGCCCCGGCGTAGATCTCAGCCTCACAACTGGAGCTGAGAACCGAAGACGAGCGGGTAGACCGCCAGGAAACAGAGCCAAAGCCAAGGCTGAAGGTGTAACCCTGTGACGACCGATGCGTAGTTGAGTCGTCAACCCAAGAAGCGTCTGCGTGACCGGTGAGGACAACTGGACCCCGTCCTCCAAGCACGAGCCCCATGCCTGACGTACTGCACAAGTAACGCAGTACCCTCTTCGCAACATCCCAGTACACCTTTCGGTGCCTACCGGGAGCCACATAGCGAGCCAGGAGGCTAAGAGGGTACGTTAGGTCAGGTCGTGTGCACGTCATCAGGTACATGAGGCAACCCACAAGCTCTGGGTACGGACCACTCGGCTCTACGGACTTGTCCGAAGGTGGAGCTGAGAGCGAGTGGCTGGTAGACAGAGGAGTGGGCTGTGGCGAGGAGTACTGGAAGCCGAAGCGCTGAAGGACCTGGTGCACCATGTGTGACAGACTAAGGGTGATGGTGCGCCGTGCTCTGTCCCAGGTGATCTGCAGGCCAAGAAAGCTCCGCAGTTCACCCAGGTCAGTGCAAGTGTGTCTCTTCTGCAGCTCCGACTTCACAAGGGTCAGTGCCTCAGTGTCAGCAGTGGCAAAGACGAGGTCGTCGACGTACACGAGGACGTAGAACAGCGGCAGAGAGGTGTCGGTGCGTAGAAACAGCGACAGGTCAGGAGTAGAAGGAGCAAACCCAAGAGCCGCAAGTGTAGTCCTCAGTGTGTCGTGCCACTCGCGAGGCGCCTGGCGGAGACCGTAGACTGGCCGCCGGAGGCCCCACTGGGTACCTGCAGGAAACAACCCAGTGAAGCCACGTGGGCGGCGCAGCCAGATCTCCTCGTGCAGGCTGCCCTGCACGAAAGTTGTGATGAAGTCCAGAGAGTGCAACTCGTAGTCACGGTGAGTAGCGACGTGCAGCAGTACCCGAAGTGTAGTCATCTTCGGGGTGGGGGAGAAGGTCTAGAAGTAGTCAACCCCCTGTCACTAACTGAAGCCTCGAGCAACGTAATGCGCCTTGAAGGCAGGCGGAGAACCCGACAACCGCTTCACCCTGAAAATCCACATACCATCGACTATGTTCGCCCTTGGTGGGGGAACCTCATCGACGTAGGTGCCTGTGGACTTCCAAGATGCCGTCTCGGCATCCATGGCTGCCTGCCACTGAGAGGAGTAGGGACCCGTATTCGCCTCTGCGTAAGAGTGCGGGGTCGAGATGTGTGGTGCATCCGGGTCTCCCTCAGGGGCAAGCACATGGAAGCGAAACGAGGTACAGCTGCTGCAAGACACTCAAAGTCCTCCTGCCTGTCCTCAAGGACGTCCCTGCCAAGAGCTCACTCACCCCCTGACGGATGGAGGACTGGCAGACTCAGACTCAGCAACAAGAGCAGTGTCGTAGTCTAGACGAAAGGCAGCAGCAAAGTCAAGCAGCTCAGCAACGAGAGCAGACACAGCAGCAGACTCAAAGGAAGGGTCAGTGACAGCAGTGGCGAGGAGACGAGCGACAGCGGGACTGGCAGTACAAGCGCGTTGTGACGCAGGGTCTGGGACCTCAGGAAGAGAGGAGTCAGGAGGAGCAGGCAGAGGAACACGCAGTGGAACAGATGAAGGTAGGAGTGACATAACGTGCGTGCCGGGGACAGGAGGAGGACGCGAACGAGGAACGCGACGAGCAGTGCGAACAGGCGAGACAGGACGAGACGCAGGCTCTCGATGCTCTGTAAGACCGCCGGACTGCTCAGTGTAAGGAGAGGGAGCGGACAGAGGAGAGGCGAACTGCAACGGCAGCTGCGACTGGTCAAGCGGTGGACACAAGAGGGGAGGAGTAAGGCTAGGAGAAGACGGGACACCAAGAACCCGCTGAAGCAGGAGAACGAAGTACGATCGTGGCCGCACTGTGTCTCCAGCACCGCTAGCTCGAGGGTCAACAGCTCCACCTCCTGCAGCTCCAGCGCCTCCAGCTCCAGCACTACCAGCACCAGCGCCTCCAGCTCCAGTAACTCCAGGCACCGTAGGGTCTCCAGCTCCAGCGCCCTCAACACCACCAGTCCCGGCAGCTCCAGTACCCCTGGTACGAGCACCTCCACGACTAGTAGTAACTCAAGCACCTCCAGCTCCAACGTCTCCTGCGCCTCCAGCTCCAGTAGCTCCACTTCGACGACAAACAAACCACTCACGCAGCTGCTGCGGAGACAGTCGCGGCGAAGCACCAGACGAAGCAGCACCCTGAGGCTCAGCACCCCCAGACTCCGCACCCCCCGAATCAGCACCTCCAGGCTCAACACCCACAGGCTCAGCACCCCCACGCTCCTCACCCCCAAGCTCAGCACCCCTAGACCCAGCACCCCCCGACTCCGCACCCCCCGGCTCCGCACCCTCAGACGCAGCACCCCCAGACGTAGCACCTTGAGCAGCACCTGAGCCGACAGCTACCTCAACAGGCGCAAGACGAGGTAGAGGGTCTACCTGAGACACACCTGAGGGAGCAGGACCCTGGGGTGGGAGGGGGTCTACCGCAGGGGGACCAGGAGCAAGGAAGAGCGGCGGGGGCAGGGGAGGGGCAGAGCAGTAGGGGAAGAGACGGTAAAAGGGTACCGACTCGTCAAACGTGACGTCCTGAGAAGGGAAGACACGGCGCGAGGTGGGGTGGTAAAACTACCAGCCAGGCGAGTCAGGGACAAAGCCAAGGAAGACGCAGGGGGTAGCACGGGCAAAGAGCTTGTCCGCGGACGTATCGCGAACAAAGGCACGAGAACCCCAGACCCGGAACACTGACGCATCGCTAAAATCCCCCGTCCAACGCAGTGTTGGCGAGGTCTACGGCAAGGAGACACGGGGCCACAGGTTGAGCTGATGCGCAGAGTACCGGACCGCAAACGACCACAGAAAATCGGGAGCAACCGCATGGATCATAGAGTTACGAGCGACCTCCATGACTAAGCCAATGCGGCGCTCAGCAATCCCATTTTGCTGAGGGGAGTCCGAAAGCGTGAATGACTGGAGAATGTCCTCCCCACGACAAAAGTCCCGCAAGAGGTTGGAGGAGAACTCACCACCTCTGTCAGAGTGCAGACGTAGGATAGGAAGGTCCTGGCCGAACCGCTCGCGGAGCTGGAGACAGACCGTGCAGATCCAAGGGATCAAGACATCAACGACTTGACTCTTGGTGCGCAAGGGAAAGACAGTGGTTTACCGCGTATAGTCGTCAACTACCAGCAGAATGTAGTGCTCGCGGCTCTTTCCACTAACACGGGCTGGGCCCCACACGTCCATGTGGAGAGTCTCCAGGGGAGCAGTCGTCGGGGGAAACGAGGAGGAGTGAGGAGCGACGCTCTGCTGCCCCTCGACGTAAGGAAGGCAGGGCGGGGCAGGCGAGGGAGGGAGGGGAGGCAGAGACCTGGGAAGACCAGAGACAAGAAGACGAGAGTGCATGCCACAAAGGCGTGGCAGGGAG